TATCAAATACAGAGAGGAGTCTATCCTTCCAGGCTATGAGACAGTTATATATAGCCTGTATTACATCAGTAGCTGATTATGAAGTTCAAGTTTGATGGAATAATCAAGGGAATTTCACTGAACTCTTTCAAAGTCTGCAAAACAGAGTCTTGAGAAGAATTCTGAGAGCATTCAAATCATCTTCTATTAAAGCAATGGAAATTGAAGCTTCAATTCCTTCTTCTGCTATTAGATTTGAAAAGGCCTGTATGAACTATGCTCTGAGAGTTGTAAAGATGAGCTCAAATCATATAATCAGAGAAAGAGTCTCTTCTTCATTTCCATCAATTAACTCTGGAAATGAACTGGATTGGAATAGATTTCTTGATTGAAATGAAAATAATTTTTCAAAGAAAATGTCTTCTCAACTGTATAGACTATGCTCTCTGATTAAAAATCAATTTTCTTCTTTAAATATTGAAAAAGTTGATCATGAGAAGTTATCTCTCTGAAGAAAAAAGCTTGAATCTCTTATAGACTTACAAATAAGTGAACTATCAAAAGAGAAAGAATATGAACAGCATTTGAAGAGAATTTCTACAATCAATATAAAAGACTCTATTCTGATTTATTCAGATGACTTAAAAAATGAGAACTTGAATAGATTAGGCGCAGGCATTGCTTATACTGAAGATAACATTAATTTTATCTCAGATTTCTGAAATCTAGGCTCTGAATGTGAAGTCTTTGATGCTGAACTATTTGCAATAGTGAAAGCTTTCAAACTCATTGAAATAAAATCTCATAAAAGAGGAAATTGTTTGAAAGAGGCATGGATATTCTCTGATAGTCAAGCTGCTTTAAAAAGACTTAGAAATAGTCAGATTCATAATGATTAAATGAATCTTAAACTGATCTTAAACTCTGTTTTAAAAATTCAAAAGAGAAGAATATCAAAGCTGAGAATTCATCTGCACTGAGTTCCTGCTCATATAAATATTCATGGCAATGAATTGGCTGATTCAGCTGTAAAAAAGGGTGCAGAATTAAGCAGATCTATTCAAAAAATTATGTCCTGATCTTTTATAAAGAAAAAAATAAAAGAATCTTGTTTAGACAAGTGAAATGAAAGCTGGCAGAAACAAAAGAAGAGTGTACATTATTCAAGATTTGAAACAAAACCCAAGTGGAAATCTTGTTCAATTAAATGTAAAAAGAAAATATTCTCATCTATAATACAGCTGAAACTAGGACATGGCTATTTCAAATCTTATATACAAAGATTTGATGATAGATTTGACTCAATAGAATGCTCATTCTGCAATACAAATGAGAATCCTGAGTATATTGTAATGCACTGTGCATTATATAATAGTCTCAGAGCCAGATTGAAAGAGAAGTATGATCTAAATCAATTAAATATGAGATTCTTATTCTCAACTGAGACAGGAATTAAATACTTAATAGACTTTCTATCAGAAACTCAAGCAGCTATAAGAAAATGACTAAATTCAGAATTATCTGAATATGAAGAGGAGGAAATCAATCAGATATAGTCTGTTAAAACAGCTATACACTCTCTTTTAATAATTTGTTTTGTTATAGTCTCTCTTTACTTTATCTTTTTCTGTATCTTTTCCTTTCAATTTCTTTCTATCTATCTATTTAATGTGTCTATCTTTGAGACTGTGTTCTTTCTCTCTTTTCTTTTGTCATGATATTGTCAAATGGTTTCAAAGTATCAAAAGATGTTAAAACACTGCAACTTGTAAACAGTTTTTGTATTCTGAGCTGGAATTTTCTGATTTTGCATATCTGAAATTGATGAATGTACAATAGTTAACTTTACAGACATAGAAAAAACCCTGAGAACTAAAGTTCTCAGGTAGATGTCATAGTCTCTGACTGCATACATCTATAATTGAAGAATAATAATAATAATAATAATAATTATTCACTTTATAAGCTTTAGAAATATTATAGTAATCTGAGATTCTGAGTTTATTAATACTTCTCATACTTACAGAGTAATAGTATCACAGTATAGTCTCTCTCTATAAGTAAGTATTTTCATTGAGAGAGTAATAGATTCAGATATCAGCTTTAAGAATTTTAAAAAGATTGTTACTGACTCTGTCTATAACTTCTTAAATTTCTATTTTAATTTATCTGAATAGTTTCTGTGAAGATATTCTGATTTAGAACAGATAAAGCAGAGTCTCTTTTTCTTAGTCTCTCTATTATACACTCTATTTATAGAAGCTTGTAAAGCTCTCTCTCTCTACTTAACAGTCAGATATAAATCTCTCTGAGTCTTATTATCTTTTTCTAACAAATCTGTTCTCTATTATTCTAGCTCTTACAGAGTCAGTCAGTGATTCATTCTTCACAGATCTATGACTCTCACAGTGATCTATAAGTGATAAATAAGAGTTATCAATTTCTTCAGAGTTAAGAGCTTAGAGTCTTACTTAATAAGCTTATTCTATATATCTTTATTCAGCTTCTTTATAAATATTATTATTCAGATCTTATTTTAGAACCTTGTTTTCACAGACTCTAATTCATATTATAATTTTATAAAGTGCTGTAAGTAGTCTTTATCAGATTTCTTATCTCTTTTTCTAATATTAATAATCACAGCTCAGATATTCTCTGTTTAGCTTATAAAGTTTCTCAACTTATTCTCTAGATAAGTCTTAAGAATAGATTAGTAAAATCTCTTATAATCATTCTCTAGATAATTCAGCTAGTTCTTAGCTTCAGTGTAATAGAGATCTATTATTATATAGATAACAGCTTCTTCATCTTTTATATTACACAGCTGAGCTTGTAAGTTAATTTTAAATACAAACTTATAAAAGCTTTTATAGATTGTAATTCAATAAGTGATCTTAAGTAATTATAACTTAAGAAAGTTTCTTTTCAGTTTATAGATATCTCTGAAGATTATGTCTAGAGACTCAGTTTAAAAGTATTTACAAATAGTAAGTATTTCTTATAGAAAAATAGCTTAGTTCTGTAGAAAATACTCAAGAATATTCTTCACTGAGGTTAGTTTATTTATGAATTTAGAGAATTTCTCTATCACAGATATAGAGAATGATATTCTGTAAATAATTAATAAGTTCTCTAAGACTTCTTTTATAAGAGTTATTCATAGTTTAGATAACTGCTTCTGAGTATCTATAGTAGAGTTTACAGAGATTAAAGTATATAAGTTTCTAGTTCTTTTAGTTATAATAGATAGTTACTGACTGACTGAGCTTGAAATATAAGAATAAGTGCTCATAGATAATTATTCAGATATTTACAGCTTGATATGATATATACTATTAACTACTAGAAGTATTCACAGTAGAAAGATAAAATATAGAGATTAAATATATAATAGTATTCAAGCTGAGTTATGAATAGTATTTATGAACTTCAGTCTATATAGTTATATGTAGTCAAGAGCTGCTAGCTCTATTGATTACACAAGAGATAGAAATAGAGGTAAAGAATCCATGAGAAGTAAGATTTCTTACAAAATGTATGAAATTAGATTAAATAAAATTAAATGTAAAATTCATAGTTCTAATAGTTAGTCTAGTTATATCTACATAGTATCTGTTAGATTATTTCTTTTCTTTTCATATATTATATAGAAATAGAAATTAATCAGATATCAGAATTAAGTTACTAATATTAACTACATCTAAATTTTGTTAGAATAGATGTAAATAAGTTAAGTGATTAATGAAGACTAACTCAGGCTGAAAAGTGTAGATACTTCTGAAACATGATTTTATAAATGTTTCTACTCAATTAACTTCAGGCTTCTGACTGATTGATGCACTGTCTGTCTTCTCAAGTTTTGAGTCTTTTTAGCTCTTTGAGTCTGTGTCTGTCTTTCTGAAAATTATTTTAGCATTCATAATCCGTAGGCTCGCGGTAGAAATGTTTCAGTTACCTTGAATGCGAGGTATGTTTCCTCTTTCTCTTTCAATATTTAACTCTTAAAGAAGAGCTTGTGCTTTGAAATCAAATTTCTCTGAAGAAGAATTGCTCTTCCATCAGTGTTCAAGCTGTGAAAAGAGCTCGCTGTGTTCTATCAATGCTAGATCAGTGATGAATATTGTAACTGCTACTACAACAAATAAAGATTTTGCTATGAAGTGAAGACTGCTGTGCCTTGCTATTAGACTGACTGTGTGACCGTGTCTGAGACCAGAATCAGAATTTTTGATAGTCTCATTATCAATTTAACAGATTCCATTACATGGTTCTAACATTAGATAGTAGTCTTATACTGTTTCAGTGAGACTTACTGTCTACTCTTATCACATTTTCTAAATGAGATCATGATTTCCACTTCTCAATTTAAATTATTTTTATTGCTTTAAATGGCTTTAAATCTCATTTAAGTGTTATCAAAAAGTGTTACTTTTTAAAAAATTAAAAATAGTCTAAAAAAAACCTTAAAATGTCTAAAAATAGTAACTTTATACTAAGAATGGGACTAAATGAGACCAAATGGAACCACTTTCTCATTTTTTTCAAGTCATGGTTTCATTTTGAGATCTGATATATAGTCACTTTGCATGTTTATTTAATGATTAGTCCCAGCGGGATTCACGCCAAGAAATGTATGGGACCAGACCAAATGGGACCAAATGTGAAATTCATGGTCCCGGCGGCCAGTCTACTTGCTATGCCTGCTTAAGGTCTGTCGCGGTTGGCCAGATGCAGGTTTGTCAATGTTATTCAAAAGACAATAGCACGCTTCCAGCCCGTTCTGGTCGCCGACATCCAGGAATGAGTTGACTTCCAGGACCTCTTTCTTCTGAGCCACCAATTCAAAGAAGTCATCAGCGGATAACATCTCTGGAGTTGAGAAGGAAATAAAGCCAAATGGTACACCACCGGGACAAGATGGGACAGAAAGTGACGCATTCATTCCATAAACATGTCATAGTGGGGCCTTCAGTGCCAAGACATAAATCCACCTGTTACCTTTTCCGGGTGCGTGGCAGGCAAAACACCAGAAAAGGAAAGGGCGTCGACGACCTTCGTTACAATTACAGGGCAATGGTGACCTGTTCGTCCAGAAAGTACAACTACGTGAAGCGCACGTCTCGCCCAAAATCATTATTCCTGTGAGCAAACCAAGCCTGCAACGAGCTCCGGAAAGCCTGCGGAATGTTACTATTGTCCAATTACCCAGTGCCATGTATGCCATGTATAACATCGCTTGTGGGTTGCAAGGTTTCCTCCCACTTGCTCCAACCCCAATCATTACACGCTTATTAATCGCTTTTTGGATATATGAAAGGCCTAATGCTCACTTCACATTTTGAAATCAAGCCACCAACGATCTCTGCGCCATATGCCTTGCCTGGTCTCTCTAGAACCATCTCGCAAACGACAGAAGCCTGACGATGATCTTGAACAATCACAACATCAATTGAAAAGGCTGAAGCTCGGCGGGCCACCACCAGCATATTGGGATAATCTGTCAAGAATTTGGTTGACCAAGGACACTTTACGAGAATTCAATCGACGTAATAGCCCTTCAAACAGGATAGTGGAGTCGGGACAACGTCCTTGTCGGCCACTAACTCGACAGCTCCACGCGACACTAAAGAATCGTTGCCAGATACCTGCTCTCGATCCCTTGAGCGGCTGCAAGCCTGAAAGCCTTAAGGAGATAAAAAGGCTCTCCAGGCGGGGCGGGCCTGACTTGTCTGATCTTAGAAATGTATGTAATTTTAGCGGCATGCTGGCACTCATGCTGACACATCAGCTCAGTTCCCAGATCCTCGTACCCCTTTTTATCAATCAATGAGCACAAGCAGTTCAGGCCGCAGGAAGCGACGTGCAGGGTCTGCTCCAGACGATAGCGACAATAAGGCCACTACGAAGACTACAAGCACTACAGTGTATAATCGAAACTTTCAACAAAATCTGGTTGACCATGGTGTCTATCCACCTGGATATAAATATCCCAATGGCCAGAAACTGGCAAAACCGAATAACTGGCTTGAGCTCAATGAACGACTGGCGCAACCCCAAGCTTCCCTCTCACCCTCAAAGTTCTCCGAGCAAGAATTTGAAGAGTTTAGAGAGGCGGACATGAATGCATCCAAGGAGAAGCCTATAGTACGTTTGGCCATTCCGATTATCGAAGGCCATATCGATGATGTTAGGTGTATGGGAGGGGACTACCCATTTGGGAACTTTGCTCCTCTAACCGATGGCACACTTGCAAATGCAAAGCCAGACCACTTTTTTGGTGCTCGGCCTGAGCAGCTAAATCATCAAATCCGTGATGAGCTTAGCGACTTCATCATTCCGTCAACGCAGAAAGACCATCCGATAGCTCCAAACTTCTTTCAAGAGGCTAAAGGCCCCGACGGGTCACCTGCTGTTGCTACACGGCAAGCTTGTTACAATGGTGCAGTGGGGGCTCGAGGAATATATAAACTTCAGTCGTACAAGCAGGATGAACCTACCTACAATAATAAGGCCTACACGATAACATCAACCTACCAAGCCGGTCAACTCAAGCTCTACACAACACATCCTACCGCCCCTCGAGAAAGCGATGGCCGCACTGAATACATTATGACCCCGCTAAGATCATTTGCGATGACTGATAACCCAGATACTTTTCGGAGCGGGGCATGCGCGTATAGAAATGCGCGGGATTGGGCAAAGGAACGGAGGGACGAGTTTATCAAATCTGCAAACGATAGACACACGCAAGCACGCTCGGAACTCCTCTCTACATCCGAACGTGAGGCAACCTCTGAGCCCACTATCATCCTGGAGGATTCTGATACATCAGCCACGTTTGATGAAGCCGAGTTCCACGATGCTGCACAGTGGAGCTTCGCACACACAAATGACAGCGCTGATGATCCTCCGGCTTCGACCAAGCATACTAAAAGAGCAAGAATCGGAGCCAGCTCAATTAGCCGAGCTAGCAGCAAGTCTCTCCAAAATTAAGCCGTCGGCATTTGTATGTAGCCCTGATACCACCAAGTAGCAATGAATTCCCTTTTTTATTTACGCTCATTCCTGGCGTTATTCTCATGTAGGGTAAGGGCGAGACCATCATAATCATCGTTAGAAAACTGTCGCATATATCGCATCTTCGTTGCCATTCAGTTGGCTTCCAGTCAAGAATATTAAGGACCTCTTTCAGGTAATTTGCGGTGATGGGAGGCTGAGAACTTGGTTGCATCCAGTACCATATGGTGAGGGGACATGTTTCTTCAAACAGCAGCCTGGAACACTTATTGTATCATATGAAGGGGTACTTCCAATCAAATCATGCTCCTATATGGGGGTCCAGCCAGGTTTTGGGCAAGCCGCCAAGAGGACCTCGGGAAACGGAACAGGGCTCGTCCGGAAAACCTTCGCGCAGGACTGAGAAACTGAGAGTGTGAGTCTCCTCCTAAATACTCAGTGCGCTGGATGGATTGCTATTCAGCAAATGAATGCAAGGCCTTAATTTCCTGCTTCGGCAACTTTCCAACTTCAGAGATTATTTTTATTATTATTACCTGCTTTTAATTACCGTAACTTACTATGATTAGCACTTGGCTCAGCATTGTCGGATACATCTTGCTAAGTAGCGCGGTGATTACTCACACTAAAAGTTCGGCCATTGCTAATTTTATGAATTTGTGGATGGGTCTGATCTGTTGAACAACTGGATTCATACATTAGATAGATTTTGCAATCACTGCATGCATCAACAACTGCATACATCAATAACTCAATCAGGAAGTTTGATGTGTGGATTCCAAGTTAAATTGCTGTGCCACTGCGGGTATTTCCGGAGATAATCCCCTGGAATAACGTAATTTTTGTGTCCAATCGTGGACGACTGGGGATACTGTTGGCCCTTACGGCCGTTGCGGTTAGCGATCTCACTAGATCACGTGACCCACCACTATATTATGTTCTTGTAGATAGATCTATCAATACAATCTTCAACAATTCTACAGATTATAGCTCAGATAGCACATTTTTCTTTTTAAAATATTGTATCAACATTTTTGACATGAATAGTTTATCTTTTTTTTTTTTTTTGAAAAGACTCTCACTCTTTATTAGAGATATTTCATTTTCTCTGAATCTGCTGATCAGCAGATTTATATACTTTATATTTTTTTTAAGAAAGTATGTTCTTCATTGTGAAGAATATCATTTTTTTTTTTTTTTTATACATCTAGAAGAAGCAGAGCTATCTTGATATAAGTAATATATCTGTTACTTCAGAGTTCAGCTCAAGACTCAGAATCACACACTTTACTAAATAACTTATTAATAAAATAATTACTTATTATAAGAAGACTTCTGACTTGTAAGATAAGACTAAGATTAGTTTTCATCAGAGTATGAAATTTAATAATAAGATAATAAAGAAACTTCAGAATAAAGAAAAGCAGAGTTAATATTCATCTACAGAATCTGTTTATTTTAACTTATTAAATTCTTCATTATCTCTTACTTCTGAAATACTGACTTTTAATAATAATCTGAATTAATCTATCTATTACACTTAAACTGATCACTGAGATTATGAATTTCATGTTTAATCTTATTTAATCTGATCTCATACATTTCTTGACATGAATTCTGCTGAGACTGACTATTAAAAAAACATGTAAAGTGACTATATATCAGATCTTAAAATGAAACCATGACTTGAAAAAAATAAGAAAGTAGTTTCATTTGATCTTATTTAGTTTCATTCTTGACATAAAGTTACTATTTTTAGACATTTTAAGGTTTTTTTTAGACTATTTTTAATTTTTTAAAAAGTAACACTTTTTAATAACACTTAAATAAGATTTAAAGTTATTTAAAGCAATAAAAATAATTTAAATTAAGAAGTGAAAATCATGATCTCATTTGAAAAATATAACAAGAGTAGATAGTAAGTTTCACTGAAACAGTATGAAATCACTATCTAATGTTAAAACCATGTAATAAGATCAGTTGAATTGATAATGAGACTATTAAAAAATCTGGTTCTGATTCCAGACACAGTCACACAGTCAGTCTAATTACACTGCAGGCAATCTTATGAATCTTATACAGATAATACTACAGAATCAGATAACTGTGACTGAAATTACTTAACATCTCACTACATCTGTCTCTGCACAAAGAGACACTATGAGAAATGAGTTATGAGAATACTAGAAGAAAGTCAAGTATGAACTAGATATTAAATCAGTGATCACATTTGATAACTCTAATTATAAAGCATGATATATTAATATGTTGACTGATAAAGAAGTTATTAATGAAACTGACATTCTATTGAGAACTTAATAAGAATTCTCTTTCACATATTATATCAACTCTGAGAAGTGAAGAATTCATTTCAAGTCTCTATATAGACATATGCTATCAAGTCTTGTTGAAAATGTTCAAATCACTATTGAAATCTTGAAAGCTGACAATACTGCAGCTCTGTGAGATAAGATTAATATTGAATATACAATATCACTGACAGAAGAATAAGTTAATGTCTTCAAGAAATTGACAAAATTACAAGTTAAGAAGAATGATTATCTTACTTTCTAGAGATGTTTCTACTATCTTATTGCCTGTCACAAGAAGCTCTGTTAGAGTACTGAGAATATATATCATGATCTTTTTCTCAATAAACTGCAGAATTATCAAAGACTGTTTGTTAAGATATATTTGAATAAGTTTTTCTTCACTGATCAGGGACTCATTGTCAATATTAATATTAATAATTTGATAAAGCAAGTGATTAATTATACATTTAAGAAGATTATTACTGAGTAGAAAAAGCAGTCTCAGGCTGATTCTGTGACTGTGAAAAAGAACAAAGATAAGGACAAAGATAAGAATAAAGATGAGGATAAAAGCACATCTGTATGAAAGTGTACTCACTGCAGAAGACATGAATATACTGTTAACAGATGTTTCATCTTACACTCTGATAAAAAGAAAAAGAGGAATGATAAGAAGAAAGAGAAGAAGAATGACTTGATGAGTTCTCAATTAGCAGCAAATGCAGCAATTATAAAGATTGAGTTCTATTTCTCTTTCACAGTCACTGAAAAACCATTCTCTAGATCTTGATATTTGAATACATATGCAAGTCTGAATATGACAGATGAGCTTCATTCTTTTTCAAACATTAAATCTTTTAATAATAATATCTCTGTAGATTCTGCGACTGAGAGAACTGAGTTTGTTAAGAAGATTGAGACTGTTATCTTGAAGATTGAGAATAGTGATGTTAACTTGCAGAATGTTCACTATATTTCTAATATTACAGTTAATCTACTCTCATTTACAAAGCTTGAAGATCAGAGATTCTGATTTACATTGTCTTTTACTATTCTCTCATTTTTCATTTGCAGAGCTCTGAACAGTGTTATTTTTCATGCAGTTTAAATCACTCAGAACAACATATATAAGATTGACAAATAGAAGTTCAATGAGAATCTCAATCATTTAAACAGAGCAGTCAAGTATATTGCAATGATGCTTCATGAGTATAATTTTAACTGAAAAGTTAATCTTTCTGTGACTGCTGTTACTACTGTTAATAACATTGATTCTACAGTTCTGAATACAGGCCTCAAGAATACAAGAATATCAAAGACTCTTTTGAACTGACACTGTGATCTCAGTCACATTCACACTGATACTATAATTGCTATGATCAAGAATTCTTATACTGAAGTTATAATTAAAGATTCTAAGACTAAGTTCTTTTATGAGAAATGTGTTAAGACAGGTATGATACAAGATTATTCAAAAACACTGATGCCTAGATCTATTTGACTCATTGAGAAGGTTTATATTGACCTTGTAGATGATGAATATATATTGAAAGATCTCTCTAATCATCTCTTAGAGTTTCATCAGAAAATCAGATACTGAATGCTTATCATCTGTGATACAACTGACTATCATTGAATATATTTTTTAAAGTTCAAGAATGAGGCTGTTCAATACTTTGAGTTGTGGCTCAGATTCATGAATAATCTCAGATATACAGTCTCTGCTTTTCTATGAACTGATATTAATAGTATTTTCTGATTCACACATATGCACACAGTTATAAATTTATATAGTATCAAATGAGAATCAACAGCATTATATTCATTACATCAGAATAATGTTTTCAAACATGAAATCTGCACTATTATGAGACAGGTTAGAGCTGCTCTTTTAAAAGATAATCTTTCTAAGAAGTTCTGAACAGATGTTCTAGAGACAGTGATTGTAATAATTAATGATACTCTCACATCTACAGTTCTTTATAACTTGAAATTTTGATTCTCTACTGCAGAGACTTCTGTGATTCCAAGTTCACATAAGATTTCTTAATATACACTTACAAATATCTCATCAAATGTGAGGCATTTTTGCTGATTAAGTGCAGAGGTTTTTGTTCACTTGTATGAATCTCAGAAGTCTGCAGATAAGCTTTCTTCATGTACTGATTTCTATTACATTATTGAATTCAGTGATATATTGATATATTGTCTATGACATTCTGAAACTGATAGAATTATTATCAGTAGTAATGTGAGGTTTCTGATCACTGAAAAATCAGAACTGATTATTATATCTGTGACACTTACTAATAATACTGATGAATCAGAACCTGATATTTATCTGATTGATGATGAAGATGCTTCTAATATTTATGATCTGAATTTCACATAATTGCAGCCCGCGAAATCACTGACTACTTACACTTTAAGTCTCATTACAGGTAATCTTCTGAAGTTCTACAAGAATGTCACATCACAGTCAGAGAGAGTAGAAGATTATTGAAAGAAGTTCATACAACATGAGATTACTGACCTGAAGAGATATAATACATGAAGTTTGATCTCTAGATCTGATATCTCAAGAAGTGAACTGATTGCTTCAGACTGTTGAGTATTTCTTGAGAAAGATAGGCCTGTGAACCTGAATACTGATTCTGATGATATTCTTAGAAAATCACATTGAATAATTTGTGATAACTGACTTAAGAAGAATTCTAGAAAAGAGATCTATACTTCTGTTATCACTGATACTGTCAATTATATTCTTTTTACAATAGCAGCACTTCGCGGTTGAACACTCTGTTAAGTGAATATAGTGATAATATATCTGCATGAGCATCTCACTAAGAAGATCTATATAAGACAACTTATCAGATTTGAGACAGATTCACTGAAAACACTTGTCTGTGTGATTGAGAATAGTCTATACAGTCTGAACTCTGTGATGAAGATCTGATATAATTACTTAACAGCTCTGTTAAGTGATCTTGAATTTACAGTCAGTATCTATGATTCAGCACTCTGATATCATATATTCAGATATCATCTCTATATAATAATCTATATTGACAATCTTAACATCATATCTGAAGTTTCTGAGAATGCTGATTAACTAGTAAGTATACTCAGTGAGAAATTGAAAGTCAAGAATCTACATCAGTTAATCAAGTATTTGAGTATGAAGATCAATTGTTCAGACAAGAGAATTGATTTAATATATTATCAGTATATTAAATATCTTGTTGAAGATTTCTATCTTGATAATACAGCTGTTGTTAGAATATCAATAAAGAATGAATTCTGTATTAATGATTTCTCTATATCTGAGAAAGAGACTGATTTCATAATTTAATGATATTAACATGATATGAGTTGCTTGCAATATCTTGCAGTTAAAACACATTCTGATATCACTCACACTGTCTCACTACTCACTCAACAGAACATTGATTCAATACCTCAATATTGAAAGACTCTATTACATGTTATATATTATTTGAAAGAGATTATGAATCTGAGCATTTTCTACAGATACAGTCTGTATGAGAGGTTCATTTCTATCAATCTTTTCATTCTCTCTAATTTCCTTAATGATTTCTATCTACTCTTCAGCTACTCAGATTCTGATTGAGTCAGTTTCTTGAATATAGACTGACCGTGTGACCGTGTCTGAAACTAGGACCAGATTTTTTGATAGTCTCATTATCAATTCGACTGATCCCATTACATGGTTTTAACATTAGATAGTAGTTTCATACTGTTTCAGTGAGACTTACTGTCTACTCTTGTCACATTTTTCAAATGAGATCATGATTTTCACTTCTCAATTTAAATTATTTTTATTACTTTAAATAACTTTAAATCTCATTTGAGTGTTATCAAAAAGTGTTACTTTTTAAAAAAATAAAAATAGTCTAAAAAAACCTTAAAGTGTCTAAAAATAGTAACTTTATGTCAAGAATGGGACTAAATGGGACCAAATGAGATCACTTTCTCATTTTTTTCAAGTCATGGTTTCATTTTAAAATCTGATATATAGTCACTTTGCATGTTTTTTTGATAGTCAGTCCCAGCGGGATTCACGCCAAGAAATGTATGGAATCAGATTAAATGAGACCAAACGTGAAATTCATGATCCCGGCGGTCAGTCTACTTGAATGATGATAGAAAATCAATATTCAGCTACATTTTTAAGCTCACAGACAGCCTGATTTTATGATGTTCAGTGAAGCAATCTTGTGTATCTCTAAGTTTCAATAAGGCTGAATATATGACTCTTAGTGAGGTGATCTGTGAGGTAACATGAATCTGAAATCTCATAATTAAGCTTGACTGCATTACTACATCTCTGATACAGATTCTCACTGATAATAAGAATATCATAGATCTTATAAAGATGACAGTCATTACAGCCTGAAGTAAGCACATTGACACATGTTTTCATTTTTCATATTGACAGTTGAATCAGAGAGTCATTGATTTAGAATACATTTTCATTACTTAAATAATAGTAGATGAACTCACTAAACTTCTAGACACTGTAATATTTGCATAATTCATGATTTTACTAAGTCTTACAGGTGCAAAAGTTGAGAATGTTTAATTTTACATTTGTATTTGATTTTGACAGACTATCTTGATGATTTGAGTGTTTTTATATATAATTATTGTTATCTCAAGAGAGGGTGTTAGCTCTTACAGCTGTTGCAGTTAGTGATTTCACTAGATCACATGACTCATCACTATATTATGTTCTTGTAAATAGATCTATCAATACAATCTTCAACTATTCTACAGATACATATGACCTACAAACAGCAAATTAAATCAGTAAGCTATTAAAGCTGAAAGCGTCGAGAGAGCTCACAATGATAGTGGTTGATTGTATTCAATTATCGGACATCGCTGGTCAGACATCAGTTGTTTGACCTGATCATTCATTTTACTGTGTTTAGATTTATTTATTTTCGCCATTCTCAAGACATCTCTGATTGTAATGTTTAATGTTACAAAGTGATTGTAGCTTTCTGAGTGAAAGAAATTGTCAGAAAAAAGAGATTATACACTACTGAACGCCACTAACATCGTATTACTATAATATTTCTCATCATTATCAGCTTTTTACAATGCTCATCTAATACTCGCTTATGCTAGCTCTCTTGACTCGCATATATATTTTACTATAAATAGCTCTATCTTTTGTATGAAATAGATATATTAGATAGTGTACGGATAATATAACAAGCAGATCTTGATTAGACTGACCGTGTGACTGTGTCTGAAACTAGAACCAGATTTTTTGATAGTCTCATTATCAATTCAACTGATCTCATTACATGATTTTAACATTAGATAGTGATTTCATACTGTCTCAGTGAGACTTAGTATTCACTCTTATCACATTTTTCAAATGAGATCATGATTTTCACTTCTCAATTTAAATTATTTTTATTACTTTAAATAACTTTAAATCTTATTTAAGTGTTATTAAAAAGTGTTACTTTTTAAAAAATTAAAAATAGTCTAAAAAAAACCTTAAAATGTCTAAAAATAGAACTTTATATCAAGAATGAGACTAAATGAGATCAAATGAGATCACTTTCTCATTTTTTTCAAGTCATGATTTCATTTTAAGATCTGATATATAGTTACTTTACATGTTTTTTTGATAGTCAGTCCCAGCGGGATTCACGCCAAGAAATGTATGGGACCAGACCAAATGGAATCAAACATGAAATTCATAGTCTCAGCGGCCAGTCTAATCTTGATACACATAAGATTCATACGTCTTCAACATATTCATCCGTGACACTCATTCCGACAGTTATGAGCCCGGTAAGCAGCATCTGAAGAGAAGCGCGATACACCGATCTCAATCCTCATTCGAATTTGACAACAATCATTCGAACTGAGATGATTGATCACCGATCTCAATCCTCATTCGAATTCAACAACAAACATTCGAACTGAGAAGATTGATCCTCATTCGTATACGGTCCGAACTACTCGATCGTTATACCTGATTCCCGGTAACCAGCATCTGAAGAGAAGCGCGATACACCGACCCCAATCCTCATTCGAATCGATAACTATCATTCGAACTGAGACGATAGATCCTCACTTGTATACATTCTGAAATACTTGACTGTTATACACCCTGAATTCTGATTATATCTATCCTCAAATACTTGAACTGATTCCTCAATTCATTCAATATAAATGATATGACAGACAAGACAATGTCTCGTGCAACTGTACATCTTAGCATTCCTGGAGATTGGAAACTTTGGTACAAGCATATGCTAGAATATGCAAAGAACAAGAAGATATCAGACTTCATCAATCTTGATAAACCTGATATCTTCTCAGAACTAGAAGAACCTCTGAAACCTGAGTGTTCAGAAGAAGCCATCACAGAGACTAAGATAGTATATAACATCAAGATCACTGCATGAAAAATCAAATATATGAAATATGAGAAATTGAATAAAGGTATGACAAAGATATGAGATATTATATGAAAAACAGTTAATGTTACAGAGCTACAACATATATACAGTGAGAATGATGATATAAAGAAGATTATTCATTCATTAAAAGATCAACTCTTTCTCACAATCACAGACTATTAAGATGATATAAGAACCTGATATCACAATCTCTGCAAAGCACTGAAAAATAGAGGTATAGAGAAGTGATTAAATGACTGATCACTTATTAAAGATGATATTAAAGAGATGAATATAACTGAACAGTTCAACTTAAAGAAAGACTTTTTAAATATAAATCTAGTTATTAATGCAGATTATATACAAGCATGAACTAAGAATATCTGATATAATAAAGATATCATATCTTTGATAGAGTTAGTTAAGAACTTTAAGAAACAGTATAGAAAAATGAGTATTCTTAAAGAAGATAAATCTATGAACTTTGCTACTCTTAATAAAAGATCTCAGTAAAATATCTCATTATTAGCAATATTTATAAACTGCATCTGCAGAGTCTGTCACTGATATACTCAGTGCTACTATCTTAATTTATCAAGAAAGTCATCTGAATGAAAGAAAAACAGAGAGAAGAGAACACAGATTAATCAAGCTCTTAAGAATTAAGATTTAAAGAGATATATTAATTGTGTAATATCTAGAGTGCTACTATCTTAATTTATCAAGAAAGTCATCTGAATGAAAGAAAAACAGAGAGAAGAGAACACAGATTAATCAAGCTCTTAAGAATTAAGATTTAAAGAGATATATTAATTGTGTAATATCTAGAGATTTATTCACAAATATTAATATAATAGATGTCAATGAAGCAGTTCTGAAAGAAATGATTCTGAAGTAATTAGATTCTCAATCTATCAATTATCAATCTATTAATTAGCAGATCTGAAAAATATTAATAAACTTTTCAAATTCTCACTTCTATCTTCAAAACTTCTGAATCTTTGATACTGATATGAAACAATATATATATAATAATTAAATACATTTTCTATTCTTTACATCTGTGAACAAGAACATGAAAGTCTATACAGGTGATTTCAGCACTAAAGTTGAAGATTATGAAACTGTTAGAACAATCATGATAAATGAAGCAGAAAAGCAGTTCAATGTCAACCTTATTAACACAGCTTACATCCCGAATTTCCATACAAATATCATCACAGATAATACAATCTTTGCACATGTTGAAGTATTTGAGAGGTTGCTAGTTACAGAATATAATAGTGAAACAGCTGTTTATTCAACTATATCAGAAAAAACCATCACTGAAGCTGATACAGCTATTATACAGTTCATATTACACACTTCTAACATCACTATATCTGAAAAAATGATATCTTCAAATTCTACAACTTCTACAAATTCTTCTTCTTCTAATCTGCTAATATACACTTCAATAAATTATTCTTCTAACAAGTTAATATGCACAAAACCTTCTCAAAAACCTAAGATCTCTATAGCTACACAGTCTACATGGTATAAGAGATTAGAACATTCTTCAAAAAACGCCATTATAAAACTTGTAAATGATACAACTAGCATTCAAATCACTTATCTAGAAGCCGCTGCAGATGAGCTTATCACTGAGCTTTGCAACCTCTATCAGCTATCTAATGCGGAAAATCAAATATCTAGACGTTCTCATGTTAGATCTTATACACTGTATTCAACACCTGAACCTACATCAGAGTCAGCAGGCTCTAATGTTAATACAGGTTCTAATGTTGATACAGGTCTCAATATTGATATTAATACTCAACCAGCTGCGATAGCTAATTGTACTCAGAACACTGATGTTGATATTAATACTTATTCAGCTGTAATAGATAATCGCCCCGATGGCCGAATAGTTAATGCGGCCACCCGGTAGCGCCTTGGCGTGGGAAACCAAGGCGTGTGGGTTCGAAACCCGCAGGGGATACATTAAATCCGGAACTCAAGCACCTCAGGTTCCTAATAAATACAGAGGTGTACAAATCGCTCCAATAAATCGCTCTATGTTCCTGGGCTGGGAAGTTATTATCGCATGTATCTAATTGTCACTCCTTTGTATTTTCTATGTTCTTGTTATCTTGGCGTGGTCTCAACACCTGTATTTCCTCCTGTATAATCAACACTTGGCCTGTATTTAACATCACGCAAGGACTCATCATAAGCTCCGCTTGCATATGAGTATAATGAAAGAATAATAAAATAAAATAAATAAATAATGTAATAGATAATCATACACGGAACATTGCACCTAGAGCTCATGATATCAGTGCTAACTTTGATGAAGATAATATCATTGAAGACTGCAAAACCCGAAATCACAGAGCTGCTTATTTTGTGACAGTTGAAAATGTCAAAGTCAATTCTTTTCAAATGATCAATGAAGCATTCTCTCATTCTCATTCTCATTCAGACTTCTACAAGTCTTAAAATTTATTTTCTAATACTGTTTTTACTGTTATCAGTAATACATCTATCTTAACAGTATCAATTCCTTCAAGAATTCATAGATCTTAACTGCCAGATTCACTGAACCACTGAACAGATGTTGAAAAACACTCATATTACAAAGAATCTGAGAATGCTAGGCTTCATCTCTATGTCAGAGAATTGCTGCCTCTTCTTAAATGATTGATTAATTGTCTTCTTCTACATGAATGATATCATCATTCTATCCCGATGAGAGGATTCAGATGAAAGATATCAACTCAAGAACATGTTCAGTCTAGTGATATTACAATTGATTGAGTGTCTACGGCTCAGATGCCAGCGGATGAACTCACTAAGGCTCTGCCACGTCAGAAACATACAGAATTCGTTAAGATGCTAGGCCTAGTTGATATATCAGATATCATCAAGGCGTAAGCAGAATAAATGATCTATCTTGATATAATCTCTGCAGATTCATCTACACTCTTTTTCTTACAGATTTATCTACACTCTTTTTATTGCAGCTTCATTTACACTTTCTTTTACATATTACATTCACTGAAGAGGATGTGTCAGGAAAAAGAGGTTATACACTACTGAATATTATTAACATCATATTACTACAATATTTCTCATTATTATCAGCTTTCTATAATACTAATCTAATACTTGCTTATACTAGCTCTCTTGACTTACACATATATTTTACTATAAATAGCTTTATCTTTTGTATGAAATAGATATATTAGATAGTGTACGGATAATATAAAAATATCTTAATGCACATGAGTCTCTGTGTACAAAGACATTACAGAGCTAAGCTTAAAACAGAAGACTCTGCAAGATTGATTTTATAGCTTATTAATAAAAGAGATAGAACTATAACTGCAGTAAAAGCATGCCTCTAAAGATGAAATAAGATTGACTTGAGAATAAGTTGAATAATAATATAGATAATTGATAAAAGACTGAAGAGAGATCTGCAGAACTAAGAGATGAATTAATTATCAAAGATAATAACTACAGCTGTTTTCTTAATTGAGTTAAGAATAAAGTTAATAAGAGATGTTCTCTATAACATCTGATAATACAGTAAGCTCTTTGAATGATAGTTTTCTTTTTATAGACTGCTGTTAATGAAGATATATCAGAACTATAAATCTCACAGTAATAAAACTTAATCTTAGATAATATATCTATTTTAATAGACTGTTCACAGACTGTAAGAAATCTCACTTCTTACAGATTCTTTATCTCTATTTTCTATCTCTTATGTAATTAATAGAGTTAGCAGCTCTTAACTGTTGATGATTACTACACCTACCCTAGTCACGTGCCACCTCAACCTATTCATTTAGTGTAACTCGCGTAGTTAGATTACAACACAATAACATTATTCTTCAAGAGGTTATGAAGCCCTCATTAAGCTAATGAAAACCGCTGAAATAACATGTCAACTATGTCTCCACGTATTGTTACGCGTGCCTAGATGTTTTTTATAAGTGATTGAACCCATGGTTAATCTAAGATCCGGGGGAAAGCCTGACTTAATGAAGAATTACATATCAATATATAGAAGAAGAAATCCACAAATGCTTGAAGCATAAGAAGGATTGAGTGTGAGTTTATCAATATCAACAATGAATTAAAAAGTGACTGCCTCTGAGGCATTTGAGCCGGATGAAATCATTGCAGAAGAACAGTCTGATGAGTTCAATGTATACAAAGACCCAGTTGAAGACATCATCAGTGAGATGTCAGGCAATGTGAGAGGCTCAAGTAGCTGAAACAACAATAGCTCAGCAAGTGAGAAGACTCACACAAGACTAGAAATTGCAAGACTTCAGCATGAGGTTGAGCAGATGAAGATCAGTAGAGATGACTCTGTAGGTGATGAGATGAGAGCAGATCTGATAGAATATCTTCAATGAAAAGAGAAAACATCTGTCATAATAAAAGTCCTTGAAGAATTCAGAAGCTAAGTAAGACTCATCAAAAGACTGATAGTTCTCACTGAATTCATTAACTACTCAATGTGAAGAGAGGAAATTCTTTTGACTGCAGAGCAGTCTGAAACTGATAATATTCTTAAAGATAATGATCTTGATGAGAATGTTACTATGAACATGCAACATTTCTGAAAAGAACACAATCTTTGATTATATAATTACATGTGGTCTGCAATTGCTCTGCAGATCAAGGCTCATTTCACTATACTCAAGAAGTTCAAATTATCAGCTTATGCTCTATGAACTATCATAGAGAATAACTTTTTCAAGAGGCCTGCTGTACACAGAACTCATTTGTTTGAAGAGCTTATTGAAATAATCTTCAAAAGCAAAGAATCTGACAGAGCTTTCATTGAATGTCTGATTATCATAAGAACTGATTATATTCATCTAGAATATGAAATCTCAGATGTTGTGTTTTTCAACAGACTGCTTACAGGAGTCAACAGAGATTGAGCCTCATTCATAAGAAATTGAATGAATCAAATTGACAAAGATAATACTCAACTCTTAGAGAATAATTTTATAAGCCTGTGCTGTGATATTCTTTTACAGCTCTCTGCTGCAAATGAAGCAAATACTGATATATCTAGAAATTCTATCAACAACGCGCAAGATAAGGATAAGAAAGACAAGGACAAAGAGAAAGACAATGACAAGGACAAGAACACTGAATTCAAACCTGAATATAGAGATAATGACATGAGAATCTGCTATCATTGTCAAAAGATTGATCATATTCAGACTGACTGTTGAAAGAAATACTCTGAGAAACATTCTTTGAACTTCAATACAAATAGAAACAAGGATAAAGACAAGAATGCAGAGAATACAGATGCTGCTCCTGTTCACAATGTTATGAAGCAAGTATTTTGCATTAAAGAAAAGGTCTATGTGAGTGGTCAGACAGAAAGAGATACCTGAATCCTAGACTCTGAATCAGGTGCTCATGTCACACTTCACAGGGATCTTGTTGTGGCAAAACCTCAGAAGATGAAAGTGATGTTGAAAATAGTAGACAGAATGATGATCTCTGCTGCAGCTATAGAAGATACAAAGATTCCAGTGAAAGAGATGAATATGCTGTTAAATGATGTCTGCTATGTTCCAAAGTTAGAAGTGAATCTCATGAGTATGAGTAAGCTTATACATCAAAGTTATACCTATAAGCAGTTGACATATGAAAATAATCATGCTATATTAATTAT